GGGCGAGCCCGCGACTCTCCGGCGAGGAAAGAGGGGCGCCTGGCCCCGTGCGTTCTGGAAGGGTCTGGGGATGGCCGAGCGCTGGGGGTGCCCCCGGCTCCGCGGTGGGTGTGCGCGGCACACAGGTGTCCCCGGAAGTGGGACGGCGGTGCCCGGGGCGCCGCAGCCTGTGGGAAACGTTCGCGCCCACGGCTCCGGTTTCCTCGGGGAAGAGTTGCTCACCCCTGAGTGCCCAGCGTGGGAATGGAGCATCCCCTGCCCAGGGGGCGCTGCCTCCCCTCGGGAAAAGGCGGCTTGGGACTGCTTCGCTCCCGGCACGCAGCTTCAGGCTGCTCGGGGCCGCCGGGTTGTCCGAAAGGCACGCGAGAAGGGCTGGGTGCAATGGTTGCTTAGCCCGGGATTCTTTGGAGGGTTGGCGGCCAGTAAACGCCGCATCGAGAATCAGAACCGGTACGGAGGCAGGTCCTGATTCTTGGGCTTAACAGGAGGTGATAGGGGTGGGGCTCCAGAGCCCGAGTGTTCCTTTACTCTGAACCGTGGGCGAGTGTTTAAAAATAGAAGGAACACATCCTGACGCTCCCCCCTTCCGCTCCCTTGCTCTCCTTCTTACCTCTCCCGCTATCCTTGAAACGTCAAAGGTCTGAGAAGGAATGCCCTCGGTTCTCGATCAGAAAAGAGAAGTTTAAACTTATTCCTCAAGATTCTGGAACCTTTTGAAAACCACTTTTGCTTGTTTCCTTGCGGTGGGGGGAAGAAGTGAAATCTGCATTCTGTGTATGATTTTCCCTTGACCCTTTTTGCAGAGCCAGAGAGTTGCTCCTTCCGGCCAAACAAGAGTGGCCTGGGGATGAGCATCTGAGATTGTGAGATCCTTTGGGTGCTTTTTCAGGCCGTCCCTTTAAAAGTAGTCCAGCCCATCTTTTAGTTTTGAGAATCAGGAATAATGTGAAGGCAGAGAGGGGAATTGTCTTTGACTTCACTTTTCCTGTCTCTGTGATGGATTTCTTCGTAGGCAATACCTTTCAGCCGAGAAAGGTTGCGTTGGCAGATGAAGGACCTAACAGAATTTCCCCAGCCTCACTAAAGGAAATTTACGGAAGGCAGGTGCCTGAGATGTCATTTTGTGAGCCTTTTATTTCTAAAAATGAAGAGGGAGACAATGGAACCCCAGGGCAGCAGGTGCCAATCTTTTGGGGGTGAAATAAACGTAGAACTGTGACTGATGAGGCTCCTCAGAGGCTGGAGACTGTGACCTGAAGCATGTAAACAGATTCTTCCTTTGTCAATGATCAGGGCCATCCCGGGTTCAGGAAATACTTGACCCCTGGTTTGGAGTAAGTTAGGAGCCCATTTATAGATTGGGCCCCACCGATTTTGATCGAATCTCAGGCCTTTAATCAGGCCTCTGCTTTATCCAGTGAACATTTCAATGCTGTGCCTGTGTGCTGGGTACTGCCCTGGGCATGGAGGATGGAGCAGTGAATACTCAGCCCCTGGGGCTACAGGGACTCAGTAGAATTATCTCAGGTGCTGTTACTCTTTTTACAAATGAGAAAACAGGCTTGGGGGATTCACTAGTCCAGAGCCACACTAGCAGCCGGGCTTAGTTTGGAACCCCCACTTGGTCTGAGCTGGAGATGGAGTGCTTGCTGATGCAGAGCTCTTAATCCTGCCCCATCCCACTTACCCAGAATGGACCCTATGGACCAAGCCTTCTGGAATTAGGATTTTGATTTTGTATCTGGTCTTGAATTTGAAGAGGGTGCAAGTGTGTGGCTGGTAGTTTATTTGACTGCTGTAATTGGTGTGTGTGTGTGTGTAAGAATTCTTCGGGTAGGAGGAAATAATGCAGTGATAGGGGTTAAGAGTTATTGAAGTTGTGTAATGGAATTGACCAGCCCTGTAACTTGGGGGAAAGTCTTACATGGAACTAAGTGTTCTAATCTCTGAATATGTAGTTCTATTACTACTACTACTACTACTACTACTACTTACTTGGACAGGTCATGTGACCTCTTACAGTGGTTCTCAACCTGTGGGTCACGAACAATGAAAATACATCCCGAATATCAGATATTTACATTATGGTTCATAACAGTAGCAAAATTAGTTATGAAGTAGCAACGAAAATAATTTTATGGTTGGGGGTCACCACAACATGAGGAACTGTATTAAAGGGTCGCGGCATTAGGAAGGTTGAGAACCACTGTAAGAGGATGAAATCCCAGACTTAAGGCATTCCATTATCATTAGGTGCTTGCTACATTGTATATACTACTACTGTATTAGTATTTGTGTATTGTTTTCCTTTGGGTGATATTTATCCCTACTGTAAATGTAAAGGTAGTATTTTAAAAAATAAGTACATAATTTATAAGTAACAGTGGTTTGGATGATTTATAGTTTCTTCCGGCTCTAAAATTTTATGGCTTTATTTTATAATCAGTATTTATAGATCTTTAGATTTAAGTTTTATTTGTGTGTTTATATGGGCAATAAAACTGGCCTTTAGGGATTGCCAAGGTTCAGCGAGGTCATTGTTATTGCTGCTTCCACTTTATGCGCGAGGAAACTGAAGATCAGAGAGATCAGTAACCTGCCCAAGGCAACACAGCAAATAAGTATATTTAAAGTGGTCTGATTCCAAAGCCTGTGCACTTAATCCTGAAGCAAAACTGTCCACTAGGTCAGTTTTCTCTAGAGTCCCCTTGAAAATCTGGTAAACACCATGGACTCCATAAAATGAACTTACAGTCTTTCCCTGGAGTCCAAACTTCTGGTCAGGACACATAGAAGATAAGCAATAAGATGATTCGGGACCTACATTTTTAAAAATCCTGGCTTTGGAGATAGTTCTCATTTGATGTGCAGTAGTGCCTTTGAGCCTCCCAGTCACTTTTTCTATGCTGATTTGTTCAGGCCTTTTCTGTGGGCACTTATCCACCCAGGACCCTTTCCTTGACCTGATTAATCAGTGTCTCAATGAAGAGGATACTTCTCTCTCTCTCTCTCATAGAGACAGTAGAGGGTCAGGATGAATTTGGGACTTACAGAATTAAGAAATTTAGGATTTCCTGGGTTTGAATCTTGACCCCATCACATACTGGGCGACTCTGGGCAAGTCACTAAGCTGGAGCTCCTCCTATGTAATATGAGAATAGCCATATTCACCCCCTAGAGTGGTTGTGAGATCTAAATGATACATTGTGTATAAAGAAAATACATTTGCTTGAGCTGGTACATAGCACTGCTCAATTAGTGATAGTTATCATCTTCCAGCATTCAGGGGTGTCAAAACTTGGAGCAAAAGTCACTTACGAGTAGAAGGTTGGTAAATTTGGTTTGGATATAAAGAGTTAGGCCCCTGCTACCTTCATGCCAGTTGTTGGTAGCTTACACAGTGGTGTATGTATTAACTATTGGTGGGAAGAATCCTGGTAATGTTTGTGTAAAGTTGTGGCTATGCCAAACAAAACAAAGCAAAACAAAACAAAACAAAACAACCACAGTTAAAAAGAAAAAGAAAAAAGTAAGTCTCCTAATATCTTTGTGTTTCTAATAACATTCTGGCAGCTTGAATTTTCAGTCTTCTTGCAGGAGTAACTCCCTGCCTCGGTGGTTGTGCTGGCTGCCTCTCTCTGCCGTGTAGAGAAAGCTTGTGGAATGTATTGGACTTCATGTCTGGCTATCTCATGGAGTCAATGGCAAAACAAATGTAGTTTCATAGAAATGAAAGTGAATCAGGTTGTTGCCTTTGAGAGGTGGTGAGGGTCTTCAGGAACTGTGTTTCTATCTTGGCAGTTGGTTTATGAACCTATTGCTGGGGAAATGCTCCTTTAAATTTGACTTCTGTTCTCTGAGACAGAATGAGGTATCTTTATTCTCATAGTCTAAGGTGAGTCAGAAGTACACATTTTAAAATATCAACTTTATTGAGATATAATTCACCATACCGTACAGTTCACCCATTTAAAGCATCCAAGTGAATGGTTGTTAGTACATTCACAGTTTTGCACAACCATCACCACAATCAATTGAACATTTTCATCACCCTCAAAAGAAACCCCATTCTTGCCAGGTTGGTGGCTCAGTGGTTGAGAATTGACCTATGAACCAGGAGGTCACTGTTTGATGCCCAGGTTGCACATGCCCAGGTTGCAGGCTCAGTCCCAAGTAGGAGGTGTGCAGGAGGCAGCCAATCAATGATTCTCTCTCATCGTTGATTTTCTCTCTCTTGCTCCCTCTCCCTTCCTCTCTGAAATCAATAAAAAATATATTTTTAAAAAGAAACCCCATTCCCATTAGCAGTCATCCATTTTCCCCCAACTCCACTTCCCCAATCTCTAGTCAACCACTCATGTAATTTCTATCTATGTAGATTGACCTATTCTGGACATCAGAAGTGCAATTTAAATAGTTTTTTTCCACGATGGTGGCGGGTGACCAGCTTTAGGCACAGAGTTCTTGATTGGAATTCTGTAAGTTGCTTTTCTTCCTCGGGGATTTAAGTAGAGACGAGGTCCCAAAGACTGAATCGGGGCCCAGGGAAACCCAGGTGTGACTTTGTGTTTCCAACCCAGGAGAGGGAACTGACTTAAAAAAAAAGTCCTTCCACTTTAATTCATTCTGCTCTCGATTGGATTGAATAAATTGCATCTAATCTATAGTTCTCAACCCACTGACTGAGACTTAAGCTCTCCTCCTCCCTGCTTTTAAAACTAATTAATAGACTTTATTTTTAGAGCAGTTTCAGGTTTCTAG